ATTAAGATTTTCAAAAGTCAGGAGGAGAGTCTTTGGAATGATTAGTTTGCATGAGACTGTAAATAAATAGTTGCTTTCATTAAAGACTGGATAGAATGTTTTAATGCCAGTGAACTGTTAACTAGGCAGGGTGATGCAGAATGTTAAGTTAAATGTAAAGTTTCCCACATTACACTGGAGAGTTGAATCAGGGTCAGTGGTTTGAAGTAGCACTCTCATTCTCATTAAAATGTGGTGTATTTCTCTTCCCACCAATTTTGAATAAAGATTCCAAAGAGAATGCAGCTTTCAAGCTGACTGTTAGTGGTACACACTGAGCGAAAGATACAGGTGAGGCAGAATGATGGAGTAACATTTCTAGGGCGAGTATGTGTTTTCTAGGTGTTTATTCTATTTTCCTACCCTTTAATAACACAAAATTCCGTATAAAATGTAACCTGCTGTGTATAACACAGTCAGTAAATATCCTCCTTCCTTCTCGACGGGGGAAGCTATGTGTGGGATATTTTGCCATCACCATGGTCATATGTCACTTGTGAGCCAAAGGGTAATTAATGTGGAAATTATAAAAATTCAGACTACAGTAAATTGTGATTTAACTTAATCTTTGATCCTCTTAAAATGACAGAAAGGTAGACTCTCCTCATTCTGCAGTAATTTTCTCCTTTTAGACTTCATCATGGCAACTTTTTCAAAGGTACAGAAAAGTTGGAATCTCCCAGTTTATTTGTGTCAAATGAATCACTGAGGAGAAATGCCTGTTGTTTTTGCAGGGAGTACAGAATACTTTTTAATCCCCCCCAGCCTAGCCAAGCTATTATTGATTTTTTTACTTATTTAGGTTTTAACAGAGGTACTGGGAATTGAACCCAGAACCTCATGCATGGTAAGCAGCAGCTCTACCACTGAGCTATACCCTCTCCCTGGCCCCCTCTACTTGAAGAGGTTCGCACAAATAACAGCATTGATATGATTAATTGCAGCTGTGGATTCTCTCGGCAGAGCGACGTGGGATGTTGAGACTGAGCCATCTGATCACATCTCACTCTAGCATAGTGATGAACACATACAGACCTGGGTTCAAGTTCCTGCTCCGCTGACTGTGAGCTGTGACTCTGAGAGAAAGCACTTTCTCTCTAGGCTTCATCTCATCTGTTAAAGAGGGAATAATAACACCTTTCTTCCAAGTACTTACCTTCTAAGGTTGTTAGGAGGAAAAATTGAGAGATGAATATAAGAAATGCTTGTCTTAGTCCCTGGGACAGAATAACTGTTAGCCCCACTTCGGGGTGGTGGCCGCAGATGTCAGGGGCAGCATCAAGCATTGATTAGGGTACTCGAGAGGTCAGGTGTCAGACTCCCAGGTACCAGCCACCCCATTTCTATCCAGCGTACTGTTTGATGTGGGGAGTCCAGTTTCTGTGTGCTGGGGATTTCATCTCAAGTCCTTTTTGATGAATAGTAGACAGAAAAAAAAAGAAAAGAAAAGAAAAAAGAAAGGGAGAAAGAAAAAGAGAAGGAAAGAAAGAAAAGAAAAAGAATTGAAAGAAAATATGGGTGGGTCCTGTTAGCTCACCTCTTCTGATGTAGATAGAGCAGATATTATTGGCCCATTTTACAGATTTAGAAGTCAGTTTGGTGAATTAGCAATAGGGACACGTCAAGAAGTTGGGTCTAGTAAGTGCTGGAAGGCAGTTCCAACCTGAACATGGGATGCTCTTCTACACAGTGAGCATGAGGTTTGCGGAGCAGTCTGCTATGATGGTTGTCCCCTCCCTGCAGCCTTTGCAGAGACAAATACTACCCATCAGCTAGAGGGCTCTTTGAGGAAATTAATTCAGGAGACTCCCGTGAAAACAGGGTATGACTCAGAAAAATGACATTTTCTATGTCAATAATAAGAACCCCACCCCTCCCCCAAACAGTCTTCAGCATTCAGACTTTTTGCAAATGGCATTAGCAGCCTTGGATATATTTTTACTTTTTATACTGCTAAACTCATGGGTCACCCCATCACTATTTCAGGCATAGACGTGGCTTTGGCATCCTCCCTGATTTAATGATTTGCCCTGAGCTGTTTAATATTCTTGAGGGAGTTTTAGCATCCTGGGCATGGTCTCTGATTCAGACTGCTTGTGTCCAAGTCCCAGATGCATCTCTCATTAGTGGAGTGACCTTGGGCAATTTCTGTAACTTCTCTCTGTTTCCGTTGCCTCATCTTTCAGACGGAGACGATCATGTTCCCTGCCTTAGAGGGTTATAAGAAATCAATGAGAGCATCTTTGTTTAAAACCTGCAGAGAGTGAGCCATTGGTAAATGTGAGCTATGAATGATCATGAGGCTGATCTATTTGCAGTTTATGAAACTGAGGTATATAGTGAGCATATGTAGTAGGCGTTGATATTTTCTTAGTAAAGTCCATGAAATATCATTGCCAGCCACAAAAATAATGACATGGGATCCACTTGGAAATCATCAGCAGAAACCAGGTCTCAGAGCACAGAGCTAGCTGTGTGCCTTCGAGACCGCATCTGGATGAAACCACCATCAGAGACCTTTCTGTTTCAGTGGGTGGTGAACTGCAAGTTCTTTTAGTTCTTGAAATTGTTCTTTCCCGTGGGGTCATGTAGCTGAGCTTGGGTCGGGGGCAATTATCTGGGCTTAGACTGAATATCCCTGGAACACAAGTTCAAGGGAAATGATAAATCAGGGCGTAACTCTTTTTCCCTGCGCCTTTCTACTTAGGGTCTAGAGGGGTCTTCTTCTTAATTGAATATGACCTTTTGAGAAATCTAGTTTCCATCTTTCCCAATAGAATCGTTTTTCTTATGGAATCAAATTTGCTTCAAGTTTCTGTCTCCTCTACGTAGTTTAAAGATGAGGCCAGGGCCCTGTGCATGTTTTGTTATTAATATCTGCTATTTTTCACTCTTAGCTCTGTCATAAATTACATTACAGTAGGCATCATTTCCTAGGCTCGGTCTTTTAACATAATCTCCTGTGCTGTTTGCCTAGGAACACGCAGCATCTATGTTACCAGGTTAGCATCACTGGGGACCATACTCGACTGGCAAACAGAGCCCGGCACTGTGGTCTATCATAGCCGTCCAAACAGCAGAACCGAATGTTGCCAGTCAAAATTCTCTTGCCTCATACATTTTGTGTGGCCTTGCCAATCCTAAATGCCTCTGGTTTGAAGATTTCTCATCTTTGACACTATGAAGTAAATTGTCTCCAAATTCCCTTCTAGCCCTCTCCTTCCTTGGAGCTGTGTTTCCAAACCCTGTGTTGCAGTCAGTTAAACCAGGTGTTTCCAAGCCCTATGTTGTGGTCAGTTAATATTCGTGCTGGAGTTGGGTGTTCTCTGGTCCAGTAAATTTAGGAATGCTTCTTACCTTATTCTCCTCTTAAAAGAGTTACAAGGCACACATGCTTATTAATGTCTCTGAGAAGTCCATGGTTAAGAAACCTGTTTAACAATGTTAATGAAGCATTTCTCAAATATAGGTGAATATGCAATGTAAGGCATTTTTAATTTACTAATCTTGCTGACAGTCAGTCGCTTTCCTAGGAAGACTTCTGAGGAGCATCATTTGGGAAAGACTTCTCCCCCAGCTTCCTCAGGTGACTGAGTGATGTAAGATCAGCAACGCATAGCAGTATCTCTGAGTTCAGAATGACAGTGTAGGAACACCACTGCCACTGAACTGGAAGACGGTCATGAATTTTAAACAGTTTTAAAGCAATTGCTTTATGGATTCCAGTAAACTGCTGGAGTATCTCTGGTTCAACGAACAAAAGTCAAATTCGGAGGACCATGACTAGGAAGGAACTACTTTATTGGCTAAGTGTTCAGAAAGTCGAAGTTTCCACTTTGGATCGTGCCCCCACCCCCTCTCCGGGCTGTCCTGCCTTACAAAAGGCAAGGAGCCCATGCAAGTTACTTTAAAACTAGATCCTGTTTTAGCCCCAGGAAATAGCTCCAGCCCTACACGTGGTTTTTCCTTCCCCAGGGTGGCTGGCACACGGAGAGCCCGTATCCCTTTCATTTAAGAACAGTTGAGGGATTATAACCTGAGGTTTCAAGGGAGTAGGAAAAACTAGTTCCATTACAATTGAAATGAGGACTAACCAGAAAAAAAAATGCAATTTAAGACTTTTGTTCCATCCTTATGGTAAGAATCCCAAGACACTAACAAAAAAACATTAGGGCTAAACTCTGAAGTCACTGCCATGAGAATCCTGAGCATGAGGCATCATCAGAAGGCTTCAATAAATGCGACTGGCCTCTTGGCAGCAGCTAACGTATGACAGCTCTGCAAATGCCAAGCATTTTATCAACGAGTGGTCCAGTTGTGATCCTTTCTCTGGCGCCTGGTGCTTCGGCCAAGTCAGGAGGACGTTATCGGTGGCTGGACTCGAGGAAGGGAGGGGAGGGCAACTCAGGAATGTGACTGTCTCCTGAGCCATTTCAAAACGAAGCAGCCACCTAGATGGAGAAAACAGTAACCTGGGAGTGTTAAATTCATCAAGCTTTAAATTTAAACAATGTGATCATGTAGTCTTTCCTTTTGATGGGTAGATCGTGGGTCTTATACCGAATTAATATCTCAGAATGGGTGTTGGTGCTTCTGTCTTTAATGCAGGAATTAAATGATCTACCCTCACACTTAAAAACAACTGTGGCAGTTTCCTTCTACGTCTTAGCCTGTAAATGCCTATCTAACGCTGGGGATATTTGTCCTAAGTGTCTTTTCCCATTTAAACTGTGTCTTCATAATGTTTCCAATTTGCAAAAGCCCTGGTGTTCAAAATTAACTGGGAGAAAAGTTGGTCTGTGGGTGATGAGTAATCCAACCCAGCATCAGGGCATTAACTGACCCCTGGAAAAAAAATGCTTCTTTCCCGAGCCTTTCCGGATGAGGCCACTGTTTTCCGACAGCCTGCACCTAATATAAAAGGGCTCGGAGTCCATGGCGGGTCTCAGAGCAGCGTTGTCAGGGAACAACCTCCAGAGCCATGATGAGCAGCCAGGCTGATAGTAAAAGGAGCCTCCCCTAGTTGGAGTATTTTGTTAAATCCTAGTAAAAAAAAAAAACCCTAAAAGCCCATCTGGCGATATGATAATTCATTAAGTGAAAAGAGGAGGCAGAAGGCTGGGGAGGATCGAGCCTTTTCTTTCTTTGTCTCCTGTGTTTGAGTTATTGAGCAATCACAGTGATCAAAATCTGGATTCCAAATCGTGCTGGAGTGGAGGAAAACCCATGGGACATGCTGGGCGTGTTTTAATAGTGTCTTCCCAGAAAGGACAGTTTTCTGCAGCTGTGACGTCGTGAACTGATGTGTTGGTCAGAGTGGCCTTCAGAATTGGTGGGAGACAGAGTGGGGAGGATCAGGGGATGAGAACTCTGTCCTGGAGGAAGGAGCTGGAATCGTGCAGGGAAGCTCCTCATTCTTCCTGAGCTGGCGATGACACACCCTCTGGGTGGCGAACCCCAGCCCACAGACTCGTGGGAGGAGAGCCAGGGCCCAGGCCTTTCCTCTGAGGAGTGGATGCGGTCCCTCTGTGTGCCAGCCACGTCGGGAGGAAAGGCTGCAGTCTTGGGGCTTTGTGCACGTTGATGACCTGGGAACTGACTGAGCTCATGGACCCTCACCACATCCTCAAAGACAACCAAGGTTTGACTGTCCGTTTTGTCAACTCGGCATATGTGCTGTTTGGGTAGACTGTGTTTAAAGATGAGAAGAGATGCAGGGACTTTTCCATTGGTTAAAATAGTTGTATGCTTACAATATGAGCCATCTATGTGCATAATGGGTTTGTATAAGATGCATATGCTCTATATTAACATGTTTCTAGATATCATTAATGTAAAGGAATTTAAAAATGGATATGATGGTTTTGTAGCAGGAATCCAACTCAAATTGAATTTAGGTACGTTGGTCTATTGGAGCACTTTAAAAGGAGTCCTCAGTGACTGTGGGCAAACATCTGTGACCCCATTTCTGCTCCCCGTGCCCTTTTCCTTTCATCCCCCATTTCTCTGACAGTACCTTTGTATTAACATAGCTTTGAGATGAATTCTTTCATCCTCCTACATTATGATGTAGATTTTGTCTCCATAGATCAGCACGCTAGGTACTTTGTTTGAGTTAAGGATGCCGCCCCTAGAATGCTCCCCCTACAGTTATGCTGTATGGCAGAGTTTGTTCCCGGTGAGGCTGAATTCCCAGCTGACCCTGCTCAGCAACCCCAGGGACAGACAGCCAACGCCACAGCCTCAGAGGCATCCCAACGTGATCCTGCTGGCTGCTGTGCTGAAACCAGCAAACCGCATCGATTCACGCTAGTTCTTTTGACACGAGACTCCTTAAGATAAGCGACTGTAACTTATTTTGGTTTCTGGAGAGTAGGCTAGCAGGTAATTCCATGCAAGGCAGATACGCTTTGTATTCTCCTACCTTCACTTCGGAATGCTCTGCTCTTCTCGGTTTACCAGAACTTCCAGTGAGCCCGAGTTTGCCTTCCCACCTAGGTCCTGGAGGATGGGGAGCCAAGGCATGCTGCGCTTCACATGTGCACACTTGTTGAAAGATACAAGGGAAGTGAATGTTGGCACCCTGTAACTGATGAATAATTCATGGTGGCTTTCTGGGCCGTAAGATTTTCTCCTGTAAAGGAACATTATTTTGAAAGACAATGCTGATTGAAAAATCTGGAAATGTGGCTTCATATTTTTTTAAACCAATCTATCATTAACATTTACGGGACAGGCAAAAATTGACAAACATCAGAATAATTAAATTTAAAGCTGACACTGTCCTCGTGTGGGCAGTAAGCCAAAAACTGAGCCTCAACTTTTCCCTCCCCTGTTCTCTCTAAAGTGTAACATCACCTGATGTTTACAAAAGGCCCCTGGATTCTTTGACGCTCTCTGGGCGTTCCCTGAAGATAGAATCTGAATTTTAATAATAACATTGTACATATTAATTAGTATGAATACACTACTGATATTTAGAGTTGGAAACTATGATTCAAGGGGTCTTAGAGATAAAACTAGACTATCTCAAGATTTCTATATGTCTTTCTCTGAATAAATTTGAAGCCCTCTGGTTTCCTTGCATTGTAACAAGGGTGGATTTTAGTTTTGATTTCCAGGAAAGATAGGGCAGCTTTTGGAATATCTTAATGACAGAGAGACTGTAAGTTAACACAGTAAGTCTATCTGATTATATTTTTTAGTGGTCAAACTGGAAAGAAAAATTCTTTCAAAAGAATTTCATTTCTTTTCTCCATTTTTTTTTTTTACTAGTCCCCTCCTTTCCACTCCATGGCATATTTTTTAATGTATTTGGAGTCTTTCCACTTGGCTGCCAGCTGGAATCTACAGAGAGTGTATCCCGAGAACACTCAACAGTAGACTTGAATCTCAGTCATAAGTAAATTGGAAGCTGGTAAATTATTCTGAGATCTAAAAACAGGCACACCTTATGTTTGTGACATAAGGGGTTTCACGACTCTGCATTGTTTTAAAGTATTCTCCATAGGGAGTATTGAAAATATAGGGGATATTGACAATATATTTTAATGACCTTTTTTTTAAAAAAAAAAAAAGAACGGCTGTGTAATAAACAAGTTTGACCATGCTTAAATTTGATGTCTTTACTGGTAGCTGGGTCCCCAGTGCTTTAAACAACCACATTTTCACCTGTTCATCCATTCCTCCTTAATGAGTCCATCACCCTGTCCTTCTCTCCTGACACACCCTTTTATTTTTGTTTTGTTTTGTTTTGTTTAACCGAAGTACTAGGGATTGAGCCCAGGACCTCATGCACACTAAGCATGCGCTCTACCACTGAGCTATATCCGTCCCCCCAATCTTGGCACACCTTGAAAGAATTAACTAGTTAGATGACTTTGACATGGCGACTTACTATCTTCTGCTCTAAAGGATGTGCTTAGAGCTAGAGTTTGCATACAATTAATAGTAATTTAGACACATGAGCTACCCAGCCTTCTATTTTATGTGAAAATCTGACTTCTGACACGTACTCCATCCTTAATACACTTTAAAAATTGGGGTGGTGGTCAGGATATTAAATCAGGATATTGAGGTTTAACAAGACATGTCTAAATGCCGTTCATTTCCAAAGAGGGGGAAGAAAGGGAGTGCGCTGATTGGCATTCCTGTTAGGTTCCATGTGAAGGAATGGAATGCCGGGCAGGTTTTTCTGCTTTGAGAGGCAGTCACAGCTGCCCTTACACATGAGCTCTGTCAAGGTCGGTGACCAGTAGGTCAGTTAGAGCATGGCATTGCCAGAGACGTGCCCGAGCCGGGGAGCAGGCCGCAGAAGCACTGAGTATTGGGTTTGCGTAAGACAGTCAACAATAGAACAGTAGAACGGGCCTTGAGAACCACTGTCTGAGTCTCGCCTCCCCCTAGTCTCCTTCACAGGCTCCCCAGGCTTGTGACCATACTGCGTTCCTTGAAGATCTTAATAGAATAGAAACTTCCTGAGCCTGGTATTACTCTTCTTTATAATCTTCTTCTTTATAATACTTTACATGGGAACCAGACCTCATGTGAACTGAAGTGGTGCAGAGAATTAGAGGATGAAGTGGGGTACACAGTGTTCTTGGAAGAAGGTCAGTGGAGTGGTATTATTTTGGGAGAAGCACATCTCTTGACTATTTTACCTGGTTTAAATGGTTTGTTCTGGTTATTTTTCATGTACAATGTGTTGCTGGCTATGTGAACACTCAAATGCACATGCAGATTCATGGATTTAATTAGTCATTTCACTTTTGAGTCTCTTCACCTCACTCATGTCTTTATTTACTTTTGTAACTTTAAAGGCACTCTCACTGTAATATTTTGTCTCTAATTAGTAGCTTCATCAGGGAGGGTTTGTTGATGCATCACAGAGCTCCCCAGATTTGGCGTTAGAACAGCTCATTAACATCATTTATTGTCATTAATTTAGTCAGTATTTTTCTTTCAGCAGGTGGCAGGCTCTGTGCTAGGTACTATTCAGAATAAATCTCTGTCATTTTGAATCTGTGATCTTGGAAGGACCATTGGCATGTACGTGCCAAAGATGTGCTGAGCACCTACCCAACATGAGAAATTAGTGAGGACCTGGGCCAGATGAAGAATACCAGTATTGGACTATAAGATGTAAGAAGATGTGGTCACCTAGGGAATGAAAGTTGGTGCAGCTGCTATGAAAAATAATGTGAAGGTTTCTTTAAAAATTAAAAATAGAGCTATCATATGATCCAGCAATCCCACTCCTGGACATATATCTGGAAAAGGCAGAAACTCTAATTCAAAAAGATACATGCACCCCAATGTTTATAGTACCCCTATTTATGATAGTCAAGACACGGAAGCAACCAGGTGTCCATCAGCAGTTGAATGGATAAAGAAGATGTGGTATATGTACACAATGGAATACTACTCAGCCATTAAAAAGGAAAGAAATTTTGCCATTTGCAGCAATATGGATGAACCTAGAGATTATCTTATTAAGTAAAGTAAGTCAGATGGGGAATAATGCAAATGAATTTATTTACAAAACAGAAACAGACTCGAAGACATAGAAAATTAACTTACGGTTACCAAAGGGGAAAGGGCTGGGGGAGGGATAAATTAGGAGTCTGGGATTAGCGGATACAAATTACTGTATATAAAATAGATAAACAACAAGGATTTACTCTATAGCACAGGAAACTATATTCAATATCTTATAATAACCTATAATCAAAAAGAATCTGAAATAAATAAATTAATTAATTTAAAAAAACTGAATCACTTTGCTGTACACCTGAAACTAACACAATATTGTAAATCAACTATACTTCAATAAAAAAAAAAAGAAGACGGACCTAAAGAGGTTAGGATGCTAGCTAGGGAAACCGAGGGGGCTCCTCGGCATACAGATGACCCCACTGGTTTCAGTGGGGCACAATCTGACCACAGGTCACTTGTCACCAGGGCTCCAGTATGGGGTCAGGCTGCCTTTAATCCTCAGGAACCATCTCTGCCCCGAATCACTGCTTAGAGCCACAGGGATTGGGGATTTATTTTCCCCTTGCTAAAATGACTATTCTTTGGTGACTTTCAAAGTTATTTTTTCTAATGTAAATATTTAATTTTGGACTTGTAGAAGGAAAGGATGTTCCTTCTTGATCCCTAGAGACAGAGAGATTTGGTTCACATCATGGCTTTGATACCTACTAGCCTGGTAACCTTCGGCAAGTGTCTTCATTTCTCCAAGCCTCAGTTTCTACATCTATCAAATGGGGCTAATAGGACTACCTGCTTTATAAGATGGTGAAGATTAAATGAAAATGTCTATAAAACACATGGCATGGTGCCTCACATGTAATTATAATGAAGGGGTTCTAGAATTAGCAATTATAGTTCCGCCTGAGAAATTCAGCTGCTTCCAAATTATTTATATTGTTAAATAGTGCTTTGGAGTCCATGGGCCGTGATTCTGGTTTGGTTATTTTTTAAGTATGTGTTTTATTTCACTTATTGTTAATTATACAAATCATACAAGAGTAAGCTTTCACTGTAAAAATTTCAAATAATATATGAAAGGCAAAAGCTCCCCTTGACCATCATCCAAACCTGGGCAGTAACTACTATTATCAGTTTTAAAAAATTATT